GAAGGAAGGAAGGAAGGAAGGAAGGAAGGAAGGAAGGAAGGAAGGAAAGAAAGGGAAGGAAAGGGGAAGGGAAGGGAAAGGAAAGGAAGAGAAAAACAAAGAAAGGGGAAAGGAAAGGAAAGGAAAGGAAGAGAAAAACAAAGAAAGGGGAAAGGAAAGAAAAGGAAAAACTTTTCATTTCGGACTCCTTAAACTTCTGGTTTCTTTTTTATACAGTTGCTAAATTGTGATCATCCAGTCCCCCTTAAAATCCAGTCTATGTTTATATTTACCACGATGTGTGATGGGTTGGATGCCATGCTATATGGGTACCATTTCTGATTAAATTTACTTAAATGTCTAATGTGTAGAAGTATGCTGTTAGCTTTGCCCTTGGAATGAGAAGAGTCTTAAACATCCCTGCCCCCTTTGTGTGCAATTTCAGAACGTTTGTGTCCTGCGAACAACCACACCTTCGGTTCTCATGAATATGATCTCTCCAAGAGAGTTCTTAGATGTGGTCCTGGTCCAAGAGAATGAGGACGGTTCAAAAATGACTGCTGGTAAGCTTGGTCCAATCCTTTGGGGCACTTGTTTTCTTGGGACTGGCTTACAGGTTGATAGCCAATCTGGCCATTCAACTGTGACCACCGTGTGACCATCAGTGAATAGAAAAAGCAACCCAAGAACATTCACTTGCACAGATCTTTGACCCGAGATAGCTTTTGCCAGCAAACTTATCTTTGATTCCTATGCTGTTGTCAAGTGACCAATGTGACCATTAAAATCCTCCCCTTCCCAAGGCTGCAAGCTTTTCAAGGGAATGGAAAAACCCAACAGTGGTCATTTTTCCTCTCCTTTTGCTTGTCTTCACTTTGGGAGGGGAAATGAACGGACAAGCCATGACAAAGAGAATCAGTCACAGAGACAAATAAATGTTTGATAGACACTGGGGGCGGGGCTGTTCGCTGTGCCCCACATCATTACACACGATGCAAAATCACATAAGTCATGGATGATGTCAGATTCATGTATAGATAATGTCACAATGGAACTTCAGCGAGTTCCCTGCAGTCACTCAATGGTGAGATGAGCAGCATATAAATGTAATAAATAAAATAAATAGGGCAATCCTTAGCAGGTGCCCTAAGATACCTTCCCACACACTCACACCTCTGTGGACAGATTTACTTTGTTAGTATTCATCAGAAACAGCAGGCATTCAACCCAGTCCTAGAAGAAACTCTGATGGGTGTAAAATAGTTGCTGTGATTTGGGTGCCTAATAAATACAAATGCTTTTCCTATCACTAGGGAATCCCCATTTTGATTTAAAAAAAACACTCAATTTTTATTTTCAATGTTCCTCCCTCATAGCAACCAATGTGGAACATCACCTCAGTCCACCTCAGCCAAATTACGTGAGAGGCCTGAATTTTCCCTGTGGCTGTTTTGTCATTCCTGTTCCAGGGTAAGACGTATGGAAATACTTGATGACACCACCCTGTAGGCCAAGAATGCTCGAGGGTTTTACACACCTTTTGCTGTTGTTGTTGTTGCCAAATTAGAGCTTACGCAACACCCTAAGCGAACATCCGCCAGGCAGTGTAAGGGAGGTGGTTTTTCTACAGGAAGTGGCCAGCTTCATGTGGGTACATTTAAGAGTTATTTAAGATGTGTTTTGCTTGTTTTGTTGTATGCCATCAAGAGTCACACTCTGAGATGGGCAGCTGGATAAATCTGACAAATAAATAAGAAACGAAAGTGTAGATTTTATACTTTGCACTAAAAGCCATTTGGGCAACTGTTTCATACAAGAGTTTATTACAAACTCATGTTGCTGAGATTGATATGGCTTGGAAATGAATTATGGATGCCTCCTCCTCCAAGATATATAGCTTCTGTTTTCTTGAAGATGATGTTCTAATAGTGCAGAAGCATGGCAAGTAATGGATGAAAAGAAAATAAACTGAGGAGGAAGAGGAACAGTGCATAAAATGTCTTCATGGTGCCTCATCTGGAATTAACACCATCATGCAATCCAGCGATTACAAACTAATAAACACATTTGATGCATGTGTCAAGTCATGCCGTTAGTGTTGAGGACAGCATCAGGCACATCTCAGTATCATCTCTAATCTTCCAATACTCACTACCACATTTCCAAGCAAAATCCTGGTCCAAAGCCACCTGTCTTTTATGTCCCTCAAGAAGGCACGTTAGGTCTAATAAGCACCTCTTTGTAAATAAAGACAGTATTTTGCAGCAGGGTCAACTTCCATCTTACCATTTCCTTTCAAAGTAAACTAAAACCAGTTTTGCAAAGGGCAAAGAATCAGAAGAAAGAAAAATAAAAGAGAAACGGCAGTGGGAGAGATAGTCAGAATCTGTGGCATGACCCATTGCTAGTTGTTTTTCATCTAAACAAAACCTGTACTGGATGAGACAGAAGTGTTCTTGGTCCTTCATGTTGGTCCATGTCCTACTCAGAAGCTTTCTAAAAGCATCCTGTCTGAGCCATAAACATTTGCAAGATTATTTTATTCCAGTAAAGTTTTGGTTTTCACTGCCTGTTAGCCGAGATGTATTATTGCTTTGGTCTTCCAAGTCAACCTTGATTCCTGGAGACTACCTGGACAGTTCATGCTGTTTTCTTGGCAACATTTTTGGAAATAGTTGCCCAATCTGGGATTGAATCACACAGCTGGCTTTGTGCCTAAGGGAGGATTAACAGTTAAGTTTCCCCATGCTTTCTTCTTGCACCTTTAATCTCTATACCAAACTGGTTTTCACTGGAGATAAATGCCAATTTTACTTAACTGCTTTCTATTCTTTGTTTTTGTTTTCTCTGCAGGGATCCAAATAAAACCCACCTACTCAGTTTCTTTCAGACTGATCTCGGTGGCAGCCTTCCACAGAAAATCATTGAATCTTTCTTTCCAAGGAGCATAACCGGGTTTTATGGGAATTTGGCTAATGCAGCTGTCACATTAGTAGTTTAAGCTATATTCCCTGTCTCTCTCTCTCCCACTCCCATTCTACTTCTAGTCTCAAAGGGAAAACATACTGTAGCTAGGCTGTATATTAATAATACTGAGACTGTACGAGTGCTTCCTGGGGCTGAATTCAGAACTGTGATCTGTTCCAAAGGATGCACATGAATTTCACCTTAATTTAGATGGAGAACTTGTGAGCCCAGGTCTAGAATTAAATAGCACTTTATTCACACTACTGTAGTCTGACCTTGCTAAGGACTCTGAAAAGAAATGAATTTCTCTGGGTTTTGCTTTGCAAGATAGGCTTTCAAACATAAAGACACCTCAACAGAAAAGAGTCGGACCGTAATTTGCTGTTCTGGCATTGTTCCTCTGTAAATCAGAAAAACAAGTAACAAGACCTGATGCTGTGTATTTGCCAAATTCCACTGGTTGCTTTACCTTTCACAATGATGACAGCATCACTTAGAACTCCTGAGTTTAGATCTCCACCCAGGTACCTATAAAGAGTTCCCTTCATGTGGCCTGGTTGTTTTGAGCCAATAAGGCATTTCCTGTTGAAGTGGAAAAAGATGCTAAAGAAACCACATTTGTTTTTCAAATGTTCTCCTCCCATATCTTCTAAATAGCAAATACCTACTTGCATTACTTGCCTGCATGGCAGGGGAAAAAACATCCTTAACTGACTTACAAGCCTTCCAGTAGGAAGAGAGATGTTTATGCACAGAAACATCTTAACCATAGAGGTAAAATGTGGTTATGGTAAATTTTGGTTGATTGTGGAACAGCAGGTTGTCAGAGACGATGCTTAACAAGAAACCGAGACAAACATCTGCCAGTTTTGCAATATAGATCCAGTTTAGAGAGAAGGAGCTCTGGAAACACATCTGCTCCATGATTCTGCCTTCATAAACTCTCTCTACCTGCTTCAGATCTCAGGCAATAACATTTTCTAAACCATAATTGGTTCTGATGCGCTTTTATACATTACAAATAATAATTAAAAAAGAGTGCTCTGAAGTAACTCTTGGTTTTGTCTCTGCTTGGGTTGAAGCTTGCAGCAGCTATTTCTGAACTGAGTTCTTTTTTTGGGGGGGGGGAGAGATAATTGTAAGTAAATGTAACATGATTAAAAGAACAATACTTTATTGGAGGAACAGGTAAAAATGTGGTTTAAATCAAGCTTTCCTGATCCAGCAACCAACAATCTGCAACCAGTCCAAAGTGAGAGAGATATGCTTTCCCAGTGATGGAAATGTACACACACTTTTACACACACCTGTAATCCCAGGAATGGTCAACAAAGGCCTGACATCCAAGATACACCCTCCAGGTTGCATCAAAGGAAGGCACAGGCCCTGAAACGGATCTCCACACGTTCCTGTGTTTGCTTTCATACTTGTTAGGTAATCAAGGCCCAGTTAATTAATCCCGCTATCTCCTCTGCCAGCAAACCTTCTTTCAGGGCTGTGCCCTTTTGCTTTTGGCAAAATCCTTGATTCATTCGGGCACAGCTCCTCACAGAAACTTTTAATAATACTGCAATCAGAAACAAGTGAGCTGTTTACATTGGCCTCGTCTCCACCTTTCTTGACATTCTCTTTCTGAGAATGGACCGTTGAATCAGCTGCAAAGTAGGTGTTACGGGCAAGGGATGAGTCCCTAGTTTGGATCATAGCAGTTCCAAATCTCTTTGAGCATGGCGACTATCGTGGCCCCCTACTCCTCTCCGTGGAGAGAGGAAACCGTTGCAGCAGCCACTGAGTTTTTCCTCCTGATGATGGCAGTAATAAACCCATCTGGTAAGGTCCGGATGATATTCCAAGCTTCGAAGCGGGTGAGTCCTTTCATCAGATGTGTGTGCACCTGCAGCAGCTCATCTCCAGGCTGAACAGGGGGGTTGTGTTGGGGGGTCATGCCTGAAAGACGCAAAGTGTGGTGTTAGCAATGTGCGGGAGGATAGGAGGGTGTGAGAGATATCAAAATACACACTGGTCATTCGTGGGTATCCAGAGAAGGAAAGCAGTACAGCATCAATTTGATTGGAGCAATGCAAGAGTCACTGGCCATGCTACCACCTGCCACACGTGTGAGTTCACAGAAGCCTGGCACTCCGTAAGCAATTCCATCAGTGGACACACATCAACCTACAACCAGCGTACAAACCCCTCAGGATTCAAATCCATTGTACAGCCAACCGGTGACTGCACCGACCCTCAACCAACTGCCCCAACCAGCATTTCACCACCCAGTGACCCTCAGGTGATATGATCTCCCCATCACAAGACCCTCTCCTGATGTGACCCTCACCTGACCTGACCTCCTCATCACAAGACCTACTGACCACACAAAGCCTTTATCAGTAGAACACAGACACAGATGTCCTCTAAACTCCACCCAAGTGGTTACCTAACCTGGTTACAAAATGTTAGGAAACCAACTCACAAGCTTGGAGAACGAACCTCCACCCTCAACAAGCATTTTGACTATGAAAGGTGTCTCCAAACCACCAACAGGTTAAGGATATTAGAGAAGCCCTGAAGCTGGGACCAGGCTTTGGGTTCATGTGGCCCAGTCTTCCATTCCCATCAAGATGTTCCTAGGAAGTCACCTGAGCAGGTGATAATAGTAACAGCATCCTCTCGCGTGTTTCCTAACAAGTGGTATGCAGAGGCAAACTGCCCAGGGTCACTTTTTGGCTGGGTGGAGTCTAAATCTAATGAGCCAATGAATTAAACAAATGAACCATTTCCATGCTCTTAAATGTGCGGTTTGAGAGGGATCCATCACCAGCGCCATGACTTTGCAATAATGGCAAACACATTCTCCATTTGTGTGACCTTATATCACAAGAACACTTGCTTAGGGGGACAGCCAAGAAAAGAGTGGTTTCATTAAAAAGGGGGAAGTATTTTATCCAGGGGTGGGCTTCAAACATTTTAGCAAAGGGTTCTCTGCCTGGTTGCTGGGTGGGCGTGGTCTAGCCGGCCTCCTGCACCACCAGGGGGGCGTTTTTGCTCTCCCAGGCTCCGGAGGCTCTCTGGAAGCTGGAAACTGGTGGGCGTGGCCTCGTCAGCCTCCTGTACCACCGGGGGGGCGTTTTTGCCCTCCCCAGGCTCCGGAGGCTCTCTGGAAGCTGGAAGCTGGTGGGCGTGGCCTCGTCAGCCTCCTGTACCACCGGGGGGCGTTTTTACCCTCCCCAGACTCTGGAGGCTCTCTGGAAGCTGGAAACTGGCCCATTTCCAGGCATCCTGAACTTTTGGAAGGCCTGTTTTTCACCCTCCCCGAGCTTCAAGTGCCCTGTACTTACCTGCATCCAAAACAGGTCATGTGGGGACTCCGGGGAGGGGAGGGTGGGGCCAGCCAAGAGTGAGATTTGGGGGGTTCTCCGAACTGCACAGAATCTTAACTAGGGGCTCTCCTGAACCCCTGTGAACCCCAGCAGCCCAGCCCTGATTTAATCTGCTATTTACTGCAAAGGTTGGACTCCGTAGTCTGAACGGTTCTTCTACATTTCAATGTGCCCAAAGTATCTTGTCCTCAAAATGACCATCCAATTGTTCTAGTCCATTCACATGTTTCCAGTTGAACATTTCTAGGGAAGTTTAAATGTCTCCTCTAGTTTGTAAGTGACATATTTCTCCTTGATAGCATCTGCAGTTTGCAAAAACGTCACACCTACCAAACCACCATACCTTTAAAAAGCCGGCTGATGGTGATTGGTTTGTCTCCATGAATGGAGCCTTTTCCTCCTTCCAGGGTGAAACCTAAACCTGCAGATGTCTTCTCCAGGGTAACCGTAAAGATCAGATCTTCTGGTGCTGCGCCAAAGCAGAATTTTGTTAGTAAAAAACTAATTCATGCCATCATGATGCTACAGAAAACCACCAGTTTAGCCTGGATAGACACATTCTATACTGGGCCACTAATAGGATCTCAGTTAGTTTAGAGGGATAATAACCTGACTTGATAACAATCTATGGACAAGTGATTAGAGCTCATAGGTCCTTGTGTGGACCCTAACCAAGCCCCTTTTCTTTTTTGAAGTTCCCAGAGCTCCCTTTGGATATAAAATGCTGAAATCTGGGGTGCAAAATTTAGAGATGTCATTTAGAGATGGGAAACTTGAAAAGTTTAATGGAAGTCACCAAAGAGGGATAAACGTCACTCTGAAAGGGAGAAGATTTTGAAAGTTCTGTCCTAAAATCTTGGAATCTTCTTCATACATTTGGATCACTGCCCTCCTTGCTCACTGGAAAATTTAACTTTCCAAAAGATCTTAGAGATTAATTGCCCATTGTGCCCTGGAAGAATCAAGCAAAGTGTGTAGAATTACCTTACCTGTGATTCTTGGGTTTTTTTGCAAAATATTTTCTCTATATAGCAATAGCACTTAGACTTATATACCGCTTCACAGTGCTTTTTACAGCCCTCTCTAAGTGGTTTACAGAGTCAGCCTATTGCCCCCCAACAATCTGGGTCCTCATTTTACCCACCTCGGAAGGATGGAAGGTTGAGTCAGCCTTGAGTCTAATGAGATTAGATCTGCCAAATTGCACGCAGCCAGCAGAAGTAGCCTGCAGTACTCACTCTAACCACTGCGCCACTGTGACTCATATCACTTGTGTTTCTCTTTCTCTCTCCCTCCCTCCCTCCCCCATCCTTCGGTTTTCCCATAATTCTATGCCAACACTTCTTCCTTCACCAATTTCTTTCCATAGATTGTTTTGAGATTCTTTCTATTGAAGACCACAAAATTGCATCAAGATACCTTCTGTGCATACACTTCGTCTTTAATCCCTCTCTATAGTACCATCAGGGCCCCAGACTCACTGGAATCCATTGAAGTTTCGCTTCCTGTTGATGTGGTGGACTCAAGTGTGCCACTTTGGGTGCCCCATTCTCTCTCTTTGGGTCTTCGTGTGACAATCACTGCCAGCCTGAGATGCCGTGCTTTTCGCAAGATCTCCAGCGCTTCGCTATGAGTGGCACCCTTGAGAGATTTCCCATTGATCGATAAGACTTCATCCCTCTTTTGGATAGTTCCTTCCTGAGATGCTAGGCCGCTGGGGAAGACTTTGTGAACCTGTTACAAAAAAAGACATATAGTGAGGAAGCTTCCTTATCAGTCTTTCATTTACATTGTGAGAAGTCAGGTGGGTGAGATTTTTTTTAAATTGCAATATATATATATATAATTTATTTATTTATTTTCTTAAGTTTTCACGGGTATTTATATGTATGGTATTCAGCTTTGTTCGGGTATTTTCCCACGTCGTTATAGTTGTGCTTTTAAAGTTGTAGCAACATTTCGGCAGAATCTCATCTGCCATCATCAGGCTTGTGTATAGTGTTCGTCTGTGAGTCAAACTTTCACAGCCGTTTCAGTTTTAAATGTGGTGCTAGCCTACTGCTGTGCCAGAATGGTTTTTTCTTCATCCTGATTGGTTGGGAGTCTTGGTCTGTGTTTATTGGTCTTGGAGTTTGCTGTGTTCTGCTTGATTGGTGTTTCTAATATCTTCTGTCTGTTTTGTAGCTTTTTTCGTCTTGATTGGCTGGCAACAATGTGTTTCCTGTATTGGAGGCTTTTAGTGCGGCTTGGCTCCGAGTAAACGGACGGCTATCATTTATTAGGAAGCTAGGTTTCATCTGAGTGCCTGGTTGGGGTGTGTTTGAGCTGTAGGTATCAGGGGGGTCTGTTTGTGCCCAGGTGTTTGCCTGGCTTGTGGTGTGGAGATTTTTTTTGTTTGAGAGTGCAGGCTTCCAGATAATTGACAGTCTGGTGGAGTCATCTCTTCTATTCATGCTTTCAGGTCTTTTTTCAATCTCTATGGCTTCTCTGATAATTCTGTAGCTGGGGTTTTCTATAGTGGCTAGGGTTTTGGTGCCATTGAAGTTGATGCTATGACCTGTGGCTTCCATGTGTTGGACTAGTGAGGAAGTGTGTTCCAGCTTTTTGACTGCATTTTTGTGTTCATCCAGGCGGGTGCTTATTCTTCTATTGGTCTGTCCAATGTATGTGGCCGGGCATGATGCACAGGGGACTTCGTATATGCCTTGGTTTTCCAGGTCAATTTTGTCTTTGGGGTTTCTGAGGATGGCTGCTATTTTTCTGTCTGTTTTGAAGGCAGTCTTGATGTGATGCCTGTGTAGTATCTTACTGATTTTGTCTGTTGTACCTCTTATGTAGGGCAGGACAGCTGTTCCATAGGTCTGTTCATCTTCTAGGTCTCCATTATGTCTCAGTGTGTTTTTGTGGATCAAGCCAGTGATCAAGCCAGACTGCTTGCACTGGCACAAAGCCGAAAGCACCAGCCTGAGGATGGCGAGTGGGACCTCGCTGAAATGTCGCCAAGATACTCTTAATCTTACATGAGAAAA